TGGGTGCATGTGCGTGCGTGCCCAAGATTCCAAGAGGAGAATGGAGGAGAAGGGATTGTGGCGTGACCATCCTTCCTGGGGGGTGATTTCTTACCTTCTGTCTCTCTGGCTCTCTCTTTCTGGCGAGCACACGTGCCCTATAGAAAAAAACCTCTAAAAAAACACAAAAAACAAACAATTCTTTATTTTGGAATCCTTTTAAATTTACAGAAAAGTAGCAAAGATAGTAGATGTTCCCATATAGCCTTTACTTACTTCTCCTGGTGTTAACATCCTGCAGAGCTATAAGACAGCTGTCAAAAGAAAGAAATTAACATTGGTACAATACTATTAACTCAACTATAGAATGTATTTGGATTTTATCAGTTTTTCTAATAGTGTCCTTTTTCTGCTTCAGGATCCAATCCAGTGTCCCAGATGGCATTGAGTTGCCATGGTTTTGTAGTTTGTCCCCCTCTATGGTGGTTTCTCAGCCTCTTCTTGTCTTTTATGACCTTGACACTTTTGAAGAGTGCTTGTCAGGTGTTTATAAAATTCCCCTCAATCTGAGTTTCTTTGATATTGTTCTTATGACCAGACTGGATTATGAGTTTGGGAAAATGCCAGCAGTGAGGCATTCTTCCCTTTGCATCCGATGAGGGGGTTCATGATACTGACATGAATTATGCTGTTGTGTGTAACGATAGCTCATATTTACTCCTAGATAATATTGCATTGGACACATGTAGCACGGGTTTATAAAAATCCTTTCAACAGTTCAAGAACAATGGGTTGTTTCCAGTTTTTAGAAATATGAAAAAAGCTGCTCCATGCATTCTCATACAGGTTTCTGTGGGAACAGAATAACTTTCTCTCTTGGATAAATTCCCAGGTGTGGGGTGGCTGGGTCGTATGGTAAGTGTGTGTTTAACTTTCTGTGAAACTGCCACATTGTTTTCCAAAGCGGCTGTTCCATTTCGCATTCCCATTAAAATGTATGAGAGATCCAGTTACTCTACATCCTAATTTCTTTTGATCAGTGTTCTGGTTAGTGATTTGTTTAAAAAAAATACCTTTCAATTCTGCCACACGTCCCTTTTGTCTGGCAGAAAATCTACTTCATTTCTCTTAGTCTCAACAGAGAATGATTCTCTAGTCTCAGGGTAATTTATTCATTAGACTTTTTAGTCCTGTCTTCCTCCTCCTTCCATTCCTGTGATATTTAGGAATGAGTTAATACATGATAGGGCAAGGAAGTGGCACATGCAGAGAGGAAGGAGCCTCTTCCCACTGCTTCAGTAGCATTTCACTGTGAGGAAACCGTGCTGGCACTCGGGGCCATATTTTTATACTGCTGTGTACAAATACAACGCTCATGTCTTTAGGGGCATTGACTCACTTAATCCTTGCAATAACTCCATGAGGTGGAGGATGTCACTATCCCTATTTTCAGATGAGAAAAATGAAGATTAGAGAGGGTGTACTTTTTTACTACAAAAAAAAAAATTATTGGGGCCAGCTGATGGTCTAGTGGTTAAACCCTCTGGATCCCACATGGTTGACTGCATGGTTCAAGTCCTGAGCCTGGTAGCTGAAAAAGCATGCCAGGTATGTGTGTGTGTGTGTGTGTTCCCAAAATCCTGAAAGGAAAAATGGAGAAGGGATCACTATGCGGCCATTTTTCAGGGGGAGTGCTTTCTCACTTTCTTTCTCTCTCTCTCTCACTGTTTCTCTCTGGTAAGTGTACACACCTGCTAGCAAATTTAAAAAAAAAAAATTGTTGGCCCAGCTACATACTGTTAAGATGCTGTTCTCAGGGCTGCCACGTGGAGCGGTGGTTAAAGGTGCTGGACTCCCACCTGGCTGAGCATGGTTTGAGTTCAAGACCTAGTGGCTTGCTTTCTCACACACTCTCTCTCTCTTTCACTCTATCCCTCTCTGGTCAAACGAAAATAAATAAAGGAATAAATCAAGTTAAATAAAATAATTCTAAAAAAAAATGCTGTTCTCTGAAGGCTGGGACCACATGGGAGATCTGATGGGGGGCTTGGGATCAGATGGGAGACGGAGGGTGGGAAGCATAGGTTCATTTCCAGTCCAACCAATGGCCAGGTGTGGAGGCATGTGCCCATAATGCCAGCCCCTCAGGAAGCTGAGGCACGAGGAATGTCAAACAGCGAAATGAAATATTTTATTTATTTGTTTGTTTGTTTTTGTCATAGGGCATGTATGCTTGCTAGAGAGAGACAGACAGTAAGAAGGAAAGTGAGAAATCACCCTGCCCCCCCAGGGTAGGGACACATCACAGTTCCTTCTCCTCCATTCTCCTCTTGGGATTTTGGATACATACACACACACACACACACACACACACATACACACAGACAAACACTTCCAGCATGACTTTTAAGCTGCTAGGTCTGGGACTTGAGACATAGTCAGCCATGTGAAAATCCAGCACCTTGACCACCATACCACCTCTTGATTCAACAAAGTAGTATTTTTTTTAAAACAGGGAGGGAGTTAACTCTATAAATCCCATGGAAGACAAGGTCTGATGAAGTATTGGTTGCCAAACTCCCTACCCCACACCCATTCATCAGAATCCTTCCCAATACAGAATTCTCGGTCATTGCCAATCACTGGGAGTTGGCTCCAAGCTGGAGGTCTATTTTCACACAAAGGAGAAGAGACCTACACCACTGCACTGTATGGGATTCCAGTCAGAGGAAGCTTAGAGAGGGTGTACTTTTTTACTGAAAAAGTAAAGTACTGGACAGATGGTTTGCATCAAAGCAGAGGATTAACTCTGGAGGACACTAGACAATCACAAAGACAGAGGCAGCATTGATATATAGGCAAAATCATATAGAACTAATATTTAGTCCTGAGCCATGGCCAGGGGCAGCCCCTGGGAAAAGGCTCTTTACAGTTGCTGCTGTGGGAGGGAAATGTGGAGTTTAACTTCCAAGAACTGAAGCACTGGCAGAAGGTGAGAGAGGCTTGGCAGTGCCATCTTTATCATACGGTTAGGTAGCCTCATGTGGCACCTTTGAGGGCCTCAGCCCTGGCCCCACACTCATATAAAAAATGATCACAGCACAAGGGATGAGCCCAGTCTACATGCCCAATGCCGATGCAAGGCTCCCTGGGCTGCCTGTCCTGGGTAGATCAGGTTTCTTGGGCAAAGACCTTTGTCAAAAGGTGCTAGTTCTTAAATTGGTGCTTTCCCTTTTTTCTTTTTTCTTTTCTTTTCTTTTTTTTTTTTTTTTTTTTTTTTTTGAGTTTTTTGCTTTAGGGCATGTGCACTCCTCAGAGACAGAGACAGACACAGTGAGCGGGAAAGTGAGAAATCACTCCCCCCAAGGGGGGATGGTCACACCACAATCCCTTCTCCTTCACATCCTCCTGGGCATGCACACACACGTACTTGGTGTGATTTTCAAGCCACTGGGGCCAGGACTTCAATCACTGTTGGCCATGTGGGGGTCTAACGATGTGACCACTATGACATCTGCTGGCTTGGATTGGCGCGTTTCTAATTCTGAAGCTGACTGATGCTTTTGTCACTCTCCCAGATCTCAAGATCAACTTGACATTTCTAAAATTATATTTTAAAGGCAATGACTCTATGAAGTGCACCTAGAGTCCATGCAAACTGGGGGAAGAAGTGAACAAGGAGGAAACGATCTTTGGCTCCCTCCTGTAAATTCATGTGTTCTTCCCATACTGGCTGGGGAGGGGAGCATGAAGAGACACTTGCAGATGGTCTCAATGGCAGGAAAACTTTCCAGGAACCGGTGCTCTCTGAGTGTCCCCAAGGGCCCAGTGTAGTTGTGGTTCAGAATGGCCTCAGAAGGTACAATGACAAAGAGAGAGAAGCAAAAATCATAGAGGAGAAGGGGAAGACACCTTCGTCTCCTTCCTGTCAGAGACAGTCCATGAATGACCGGGGTGGGGCCCCAAGGTGGTCCCAGAGGAAGCTCCTGGCCAGGCCAGGACACAGGCTACTTGAAAGAGAATTCAAGAACAGCTGCTTCTCCTTAAACTGGAGAGGTGGCTGAGGGGTTTTGTGTGAGCCCAGATCAAAACATGTCTATCAAAAAGGATCAAGAGGCTGGCCAAGTGGATTGCAGATGAAAAAGGGAATTGAATCTTCTTCTTCTTTTTTAAATAAAAATGTAAGGAAAATTCAGGAAGAAAATGCTTTTGTGTGCAATTCTTTCCTTTTCCTTTCAGCAAAGTCTGTGCAGCTACCACAATCTTCCTCTCTCCTCCACCCACAGATCAACTTTAAAATGTAGCCTGTTAGTATTTAAAGTAATTCATTCCAAATAGGAGAACCACACCTCTTTGCCCTCCCACCCTCTCCCCATGGAGCTCTGAGGGCCTCTAGCCTGGACAGATGTCAGCCCCTCCTTCTCCATCTTAATGTGGCTGTCTTGGGTTTTCAAGGCTGCAAACCTGACCCAGGATTAAGATGAAAACTTCACTCCTTAGTTCATGTGCCATGTAGGGTGGCTTAATTCACCAGTCAGCAATCCACTGCTTACAAGGTGACTCCAGGGTGCTGACTATGGAGAGAGAGAAATTCAGAGGTAGAGACCTGAGCTCTGGGGCTGCAGCACCTGGTGATAAGGGATGATGAATAAAGCCCAGGCCTGGCCAGGCCAGCAGAGCCCCATCTTGGCGTTGCTGGATAAGATGGGAGACTGAAAAATTCTTAGGAGAGATGAGAGCTGATTCACCACAAGAGACTCTGGGCCCGTACCTGAAGTCCTCAAGGAGAAGATGGGCTCTGAGGAAGATCTTAAGGGGTGGATGCGGTTGGGACTGCATCCCAGGTGGAGAGCACAGTAAAGAGGCCAGGAATGGGATGAAGTAGGCGCAAGTCCTACTATGTGTGTGGAAGGTCAAGGCTGCGGGGGCCCATCCTTCTCTTCTGTCACCACCCCATAGCCCCTCCCTCAGCACCACAGGGTCCCCACAACAGAATACAACCTTGAAATTGCATGTCAAATATTTTTTCTGTTTATTAAAAAATAAAACCAAAAACAATTAGTGTCACAGGGGCTCCAGAAACACATGCTTTTGATTTCCAGCCATGAAGAAGAAAAAAGGAGACACTGGTATCTGCAGATATGGCTGCTTTCCATAGAAAGGTTGGTGCCGCGGAGAGAAGCCCTGCTCCCTGCCATTGTGAGAACACCCAGCCCGCCAGGCAAGCGCTGTGGGGACAGGGCTGTTGGCCAGAACTTCGTCCAGAGCTCACTGAAAGGTGGCTTGGCAAACCACCTTAACCCTTCTTTAAGAAGACAGAGGCAGGAGTATAGGAGGAGGCATGTAAGCCTTGTTAGCCTCCCACTGGCACTGAGGCTGTAGGACACATTATTTAAACCCCAAAGTAGGTTTATGAGCTGAATTTGGATCTTACAGTAGCCCAGTGACACTGCAGCAGCCATGATTGACGTCGACAGGAGAGTGGGGCCTGGAAACCGCTCCCAGACGGCCCCACATTGTTTAGATGCACATACAGATTACACTAAAACCCTCTGTACCAAATAAGAGTAAATAATTATACCAATATAAACAGGGCCTCTGACCCCCTCATTTTATTAAAATGGCACGTAAATATTAAAAGAGCATACTGATCACTTTATACTTCTGCTAGCTCCTGGGGGAGTGGCTAAGGAGTGGCACGCAGGTTCCATCCGAAGGCTGCAGACTCATGCATTGAGCAATTCGTGTTCTTTATCAGTTTTCCCAATAGCATCAGGATTTGATAATGGGTCGAGGTCAGCGAAGAGGCTGAACCAGGCAGTCAGGTCCGAGGCAGCCTTGGCAGGCTCTGCAAAGAGAAGAGGAAACATCAGCAAACTCGCCTTCTCAATGCCCACCTCTGCCATGCCGGATGGCATGCAGGCAGATCCAGGGTCATCTGGAAAGGGAGGCTGTTCCATCATCACATCCCATGACACCCTGACAAGAGGTAGGGAATTCCATGTCTCCCTGTTGCTTGGGTGAGAAACAGTTTGAGAACATGGCCTAAAGCTCAGGGCAGCATAAAAAGCTCTTGTGTTAACCAGCCCCACCCCAGTTGGCCACAGCCCACGGAGTTGCTCAAAGCCTCAGGCCTTGCAGCTTCACCACCACCAGGAAATAGTGTAGTTATTTGAGAAATCAGACTGAATAGCTGAGGAAGCAAGGTGCTTCCCAGGGTCTACAGGAGGGATCTTTTCAGATCGGATCAAAATAATATGGTTATTCTTTTCACCCTTCAAAGCAATAGGCCCAGAAAGGGGTGGCAACCAGGCCTGGCTTCTCCTCTTCTGTAAGGGCCACTGCCTTCTTCAAGACCTCTCCCTTCAGAGGAAGGAGGTCCTCCAGACTCCTCGCCTTCTCCCAATGGGCTCAAAATCCTCTCACTCTTCATCCTCACTAAAATATGCCCCTTTTCTGCACTGTCACCAAAAACCCTGCCCTGGCTTCCTGAATACCATGATCATAGAGCCAAATTATTTTCCAGATGAGAAGAACATTTTCAAAAGAGTGCCTCATGTAAGTGATTTCTAAGTAAGTGGAGGCTCTTTTTTTTTAGTATATAAATCCTTCCACATGAGAATCTAAGTTCATTTGCTTGGGTGACCTTGTGCTTTTTCTTCTTCCCCAACAGGTATGGGAGTGTCAGATATATGAAAAAAAAAAAAGTTTCTGTGATGGTTCTCCTTCTAGCCGAGAGCAGCCAGGAATGTGCTTGCCATCTGGATGAAAAGAGTTTCAAAAACATAATAGTAGGACAAGTTGCTAGAAGTGATTAGAGTGACAGATAGAAGCAATGGGATTTGACCATGATACACAGAGTCTCTGGTCCTTTTGTTAAAACGGCACTGAAGTGCCAAGATAGTGTGCTGGTCACTTTATACTTCTAATTCCCCTCATTTTCTCTTTCTGGAAAATATCTTATAGATGTTTGACTTTATAATGAAATAATCAGTATATCATAAAGATAAAACTAACACTAACACGACTCATTGGTCATAAGCAAGTTACCACTTTGTAACATTAGTTGAATTTCACGTGCCGTTAGCCCTCCAAGCACCTAGCTTATTTTGATATGATAAACTGATGAGAGAGGTCAGTATAGGTTGGCAGAGGAGTGGGGATCTGCTTACAGAGGAAAGAACTCATTTTTCTTTAGTCATGCAGATGATCACACAAGGAAACCATATGGGGCAAGACGGATTTAGATGAATTGGTCGATCTCTATTCTTGATGGAGAATATCAAGCGATCTTAAAGATATGTCCAGTGAAAACATGTGACACACTCGCTTCCCCTTCCTCCTAACCTCTGCAAAGGTCTTAGAGGAGCTTAGAAGGTGACCGTGCCCCCGCTGTGAGGAGCCAGATGGTTATACTTTGAGGAAACCTTCACGCTCCCCAGGCCTTCATCACTGGAGGCAAAACCAGGTGCAATTTATTTGCACAACATGTAAAAGATTACCATGAGGGGCCAGCAGGTGGTGAGGTTCTTAAGGTACTGGACTTCCACATGGCCGATCATGGTTCGGATCCCTGACCTGGTGGCTTGAAAATCATGTCAAGTGTGTGTGTGTTCCCAAAATTCCTAGAGGAGACTGGAGGAGAAGGGATTGCAGTGTGGCCTTCCCCTCTGGAGAGGGCAATTTCTCACTTTCCCTCTTTCTGGGGAGTGCACATGCCCTGTGACAAAAACCTAAATAAAAAGGTGGGAAGGGGGAGAATATCATGAGAGCACTTTTTGATGATAATGAAATAGACAATTTCTTTAACTTCCTGTGGTCAACAAAGGGAAATTGAGTGCTGACCAGAGGAGCAGAGATACAGCTGCAGATACAGATGAGATCTTCAGACGAGCAGATGCTCTCTTTGAGGGCCTGTCCCAAAAGAAAACAGATCTCATGAACTTGAAAGGGCCCCTGTGACAACTAAAAAGCCCAGCCCTTTCTAAGAAGCACTAATTAAATGCTCCATTGGCGGTAAATGTATTTTTGAGTGAAGACAGAAAACCTTGGTGACATTTCCTACCTTGATATTTCCACACAATTTGGGGGAACATTCATTCATATGGAAACAGATATTTGATTTTGATTCATTCTCACTAGATATAAAATGTGCTAAGGGGAATTATGGATTAGAACATTAAACCAGAAGAAAAAAGTCAGAATATAATTACCAGGATCATGCAAAACTCTCCATCCCATATCCCTACTTTGAGCCCGATATGCTCAAATAGCAATTAGTAAGGAAATACAGAAAACAGTGTTAAGCCAGTGGAAAGGAAGGCAACTGTCATTTCAGGGAGATAGAACTCGCATTACCTTTCACTGCAGGGCTGTTGTCATTTGGACTGTTGGTCTTTGGCGCTGGCCATGGAGAAGGAGGAGGATTGACATTGCTCTCTGACCAGCCTAATATTCAAAACCAGAGGATGTTAGAGCTAATGAAGAGTAGGTGCCCCGATCCACCAGTTGCGGGGCACATGTGTGGTTCTGAACCACTGTGACCTCCAAAGAAAGGATGCTATGACAAGGCCCTTGTATGTTCTTCACACTGGGACACATATAAGGGGCCAGTAAATATATATGATCAAGCCCAATTAAAAATAGGTAAAACTAAGGAAAAGACTAGGAAGTAAGAATTTGCTATGGTGAAGGTAATTTTGCTTCTTAAGCTTTAGGAACATTTTTTGTCCCATTTCACAGTCACACTAAAGATTGTCCGTAGCATTCTAAGAAAATCAAGTGCTACACTTTGTTGTAACAAATGGAGAAAACTTAAGTGTGAATGCTATTAAGTGAGGCAGTAAGACAAGCAAACTGCATGTCTTCTCTACTTCCAAGAGGATCTAGTCCATCCTTTTCTAAACAACTAACTTAAATGGGGAGGTTTAATTTACAAAGGATAGTCCTATCCAAATATATGTAGTTTGGGGAAAAAGCCTTCTGTAACTTTATGCTGTACCCCTACAGTGTCATTTAGCTTCTACAATCCAGCACTTGGCAATACCCCCTTGTACCCTGCCTGCTCCCAAATGAGGAGAATACCTGCTGTTTGAGGGCGGCAGTAGCAGGTCCTAGTGTCCTGTAATATTCACTGTCTATTCTGAAGGTTTTGGCATGACTCATATTTACTTCAGAACTTGACGTATGCTTCTTTGTAGCTCTGCTTTAATTCTTTGGGTATAAGGCCTTTCTTCTCAAAGAGACAAGACATTTCTTTCTTCAGCGTCCTCCCAAATACTTAGTACAGGTGTATGTTTGCTGATTAAACCCACTGTGGAATCTCACCGTAAGATGCAGACCGACAGCTGCATCACTGTTGTGCTTTTATGCTGAAGACTGTATCCTTTTACTGGGATGCTCTGGACACAGTGTTTTTTAAAGAAAAGATTCATCTTTGATGAAGCTCTCAAGAGAGATCATGTTGGAAAGCAGAGTTCAGATGGGGCTAGAAACCAGTGTCCAGAGCAAGAATGCCACTTAGTACATGCCATGAAAATGGAAGGATTTAATGCTGTTTGTTCACTCTGCCATTCTAAGAGTCACACATTCTTATGAACTGAATTATAGAATAATAATGTGTATTTATATATAAATAAAATAAATTTATCAGTTTGCATTTTTGTCTCATCTCTAGATTCATGAGCTTCTTGCTATTGTTCATCTTTATAACCTTTACTGCACTGCATGGCACTTGGGTGTTCAAATAATGACCACAGAATTAAGATAAACCATTAAAGCACTCATTCAAACTGTGAGAAGTACACTTATGAAACTACATATATATATTTATACACACACACACACACACACACATATATGTATACATATACATACATATATTTTTTTATAAGAGAGATTTTTGCTATAGTGTGTGTGCACTCGCCAGAGAGACAAAAAGTGAGAAATCAACCCCCAGCAGGGATGACCGTGCTACAATCCCTTCTCCTCTATTCTCCTCTCAGGATTTTGGGCACACACGCACACAAGCCTGGTGTGAGTGTCAAATCACCGGGTCCAGGACTTGAACCATGTTTGGTCATGTGGGAGTCCAGTGACCTAACCATTATGCCATCTGCTGGTCCTTATGAAAAAATATTTTAACAGATGGCAAAGCAGTATATGGCATGCAATAAGAGCTAAAATACTCACATATCAAATTATTTTAAGCTAATGGCATATAAACTTCCTTATGAAGACTAATGAATAATGAAACAAGTAGCCTGTTCACTGGGTGTAAACGATGCAAAAAGTATAAAGCATTCTATAAGAGCATTGTTATTCATTGGAAAGGCACCTGAGCATATAATTAATATCACTCACAATCAAAAACCAATTAGATTTTTTTTTTTTTTTAAGACAGACTCTTGGCATGTTACCATCCTCCTGCCTCAGCCTCCCATTTGGGACCAGAGGAGCACCTTGCCACAGCTGGCTCTTTTTCTGACCACATGTTGCTGGATTGCCCAGACCAGCCTCAAGCTCCTGATTCTCCTACCTCTGCCTTTCTGGGTCACTGGGTTTATAGGTGCATGCCACCATGCCTGGCCTAACAGCACCAGAGTTTGAGGGAGCATTCTGGCATGACAAAATGTTTTAATACTGGACTGTGGAGAGGGTTGTAAAGTTTAAATTTGTGAAAAATCCTTGATCTTTTTTCCTTTTTCCTTTTTTTTTTTTTAGAGGCTTTTGCTATAGGGCGCATACACTAATAAATTTATCAGTTTGCATTTTTGTCTCATCTCTAGATTCATGAGCTTCTTGCTATTGTTCATCTTTATAACCTTTACTGCACTGCATGGCACTTGGGTGTTCAAATAATGACCACAGAATTAAGATAAACCATTAAAGCACTCATTCAAACTGTGAGAAGTACACTTATGAAACTACATATATATATTTATACACACACACACACACACACACATATATGTATACATATACATACATATATTTTTTTATAAGAGAGATTTTTGCTATAGTGTGTGTGCACTCGCCAGAGAGACAAAAAGTGAGAAATCAACCCCCAGCAGGGATGACCGTGCTACAATCCCTTCTCCTCTATTCTCCTCTCAGGATTTTGGGCACACACGCACACAAGCCTGGTGTGAGTGTCAAATCACCGGGTCCAGGACTTGAACCATGTTTGGTCATGTGGGAGTCCAGTGACCTAACCATTATGCCATCTGCTGGTCCTTATGAAAAAATATTTTAACAGATGGCAAAGCAGTATATGGCATGCAATAAGAGCTAAAATACTCACATATCAAATTATTTTAAGCTAATGGCATATAAACTTCCTTATGAAGACTAATGAATAATGAAACAAGTAGCCTGTTCACTGGGTGTAAACGATGCAAAAAGTATAAAGCATTCTATAAGAGCATTGTTATTCATTGGAAAGGCACCTGAGCATATAATTAATATCACTCACAATCAAAAACCAATTAGATTTTTTTTTTTTTTTAAGACAGACTCTTGGCATGTTACCATCCTCCTGCCTCAGCCTCCCATTTGGGACCAGAGGAGCACCTTGCCACAGCTGGCTCTTTTTCTGACCACATGTTGCTGGATTGCCCAGACCAGCCTCAAGCTCCTGATTCTCCTACCTCTGCCTTTCTGGGTCACTGGGTTTATAGGTGCATGCCACCATGCCTGGCCTAACAGCACCAGAGTTTGAGGGAGCATTCTGGCATGACAAAATGTTTTAATACTGGACTGTGGAGAGGGTTGTAAAGTTTAAATTTGTGAAAAATCCTTGATCTTTTTTCCTTTTTCCTTTTTTTTTTTTTAAGAGGCTTTTGCTATAGGGCGCATACACTCACCAGACAGACAGAGACAGAGAGAGAGAAAGTGAGAAATCACCCCCCAGGGGTGATGGCCACGCTGCAATCCCTTCTCCTCCATTCTCCTCTTGGGATCTTGGGCATGCACGTACACGTGCCCGGTGTGAGTTTTAAGCCCCGGAGTCCAGGATGTGAACCGCAGTCGACTACATGGGAATCCAGCGACATAGCCATTATGCTAACTGCTGGTCCCGATCTTTTTTCTTATAATAAGTAAATTTTAAAGGATATAAATTATACTTCAACAAAGCAATTTTTAAAAATGGCCAATATTTAGTGTAACCCAGGAATAACATAAGCCTCCCTGGTTCATAGAAAATTGGCTCATGACTATTTTCTTTCTAGACCTGAATCTCCTAAAACAGCGATACATGAAGGAAGTGAAAGTTATGGTTCTGCTGGGTGCCAAATAATGCCAATCATAGGAAAAGCTGGGGGGTGTGTGTGTGAAATCTAGCAGGGTAACTGTACTCTGCACCCTGCAACCCTGCCTCTGGCACCAAGTGTATTCAAGAACCACCTGTGCAACTCTTTTTCACTTTTTATTTTTATTATTTTATTTTATTTTTAAGAGAGATTTTTGCTATAGGGCGTGTGCACTCACTGGAGAGACAAAGAGACAGAGAGCAAGAAATCACCTCCCCCAGGGGGTATGGCCATGTTGCAATCCCTTTTCCTCCATTCTCCTCCTGGAATTTTGGGCACGTATGCACATTTACCCAGTGTGAGTTTCAATTCACTGGGTCCAGGAGTCAAACTGCATGGGAGTCCAGTGCCTTAATCACTATGCCACCTACTGACCCCACCCTTTCAGCTTTTCCATCATCCCTGCAGCCTGGCCTCAGTCTCAGGAGCTGTTTTCAAAAGGTGGTGCACGGGTTAGAAATGCAAGTTTGCAGGCCCACACTGACCTACTGCATGAGAGATCCTGGGAGTGAAGCCCAGGAAGCTGTTCTAACAGCCACTCAGTGACTGTTCTACAAGTGAAATTGGAGAGCACTGTCCTTGGTGGCCTCTGAGGATTTCTCTCAGGATCATACGACGTCTCTGAAGCCAGAGGTAGGGTAAGGAGAGAGGCCCTCCTAACAAACAAAGTAGCTCATTCAGGATTCTACTTCCCCAGACCGCTGAATCCAAATTCTGTAGCTCTAAACTCTTCAATCCTGTGGTGCTCTCTGAGATCATGGAGGTTCACACCTCCAGAGAGACCCTGAACTGACTCAGAGAACAGGCAGGTGAGCAAGGCAGAATTCAATTCTTCCCAGGATCTCTACACACTATTTGATAATGGGAACTCAACAAGACAATTCCTTCTATTACAAAAGTAAGCACGACATTCATTTTTCAAAAATGGCTGCAGAAGATGCTGGAAAAAGCAGATTCAAAGTGCTACTATTATTTATTTATTTATTTATTTATTGTAGAAGTTTTTGCTATAGGACATGTGCACTCCTGGAGAGAGAGAGAGAGAGAGAGAGAGAGAGAATGAAAGGCAAAGTGACCCCCCCACCCCCGCCACACACACACACACACCACCACCACCAGGGACGGCCACACTGCAAT